ATATCCAACAACTTGAATCTGAACAACTCGCTCAAGGAAGCATCGACAAACATGTTGACTCAGGGTGGACTAGATGAGGTTGAACTCTGTACTTGAAGCACTGGACCTTTGAAGCACTGGAGAAAACTGAGGTGGATCCTACCTGTCCAACTTGAGAGGCGGGAGGTGGACGAAACAGGCATCTGCGATGAGGATCGTCAGAGCTGGTAGTAGCAAACCCCTCTGTTCCATGTGCGGTCACGGCCATGACACACAGCGTAACGCTGACGGCTGAACAAGAACGTAAGGAGCAAAGAGTGGTCCTTACCTTGTGCCATCGTGGAACCAACTGTGTGACTTCCAGTCCCAGGCCATGAGCCGGGAGCTGTCGACATGTCACCTCGCTAGATCACCCCACTTCACCACACTTCACCACACCAGACATCATCAAATCACCCTTCATCACCCAACAAGCCATCACCTTGTTCAGCACAGAAACCACATAGCCCATATAGCCAGTTGGCGATATGTTTTGAAACTTCTGCCCACCTCTGCTGAAGAGCTGCCTCATCTACAGTGGCCAACGGAACTCTCATAGGCTTGGGATCAATGCAGCGACTGCTCTAACCTTTTGACGAATACACGGCCTCTTGACGAATACATGGAAGAATCGGCACTCGCTGTCAAATCTTCAAGACCCAGCGATTTCACTGCCTGCCGCTCTGCAGGCGAAGCAGGCTCGGATGCTTGGGCTGCACGCAGTGCCTCCTGCGCCTCCTCTGAGAACATCGGTTTAGGTGGGGCTGCATAGGTTGTCAGCAGCGAGTCTGGTAGAAAGTCCAACAAAAACGGATTCTGACGGATCTTGTTCTTTTCCCTTAACTGTTCCTCAGTTCTAAAGGGGTTAATTACCTGCACCAAATGGGTTCCCACTAAGGTGGCAAGCACAGCTGTGCTGCCACACTAGTGCGAACAGCCCTGACATGCTCATACCAAAGCTGAATCGCTTTCTGGGGTTCAAACTGCTTCTGCAAGAAGTTGAAAACGATAAAACAGGTCACAACTCGGTCAGGAATCTCCCTGTCCTTCAGCGCTTGCTCCTTTTCTTTCATTTCACCTGAGCGCACTGAATCCAGGTCTTGCAAACCTGATGTTAACAACATCATCCAATTATATACCCAAACACTCAGTCTTCTCATATTTGATCGTGCTTGCAGCTCTTGTTGGTTCCTGTGCCCCTTTGCCGAGATCATCTTGGGACGTCCGGGCGTTGCATCCGTTCCATCACGTCGGCCTGGCTGCGTCCAATTTGGCTAAGAACAGCTTGGTCTCACGAACCCCGAGCAGAAACCAAGAAATTCATGCGGAAAATGGTTCATCTTACATGACTGCGTCCAAGTTGGACTTTACAAGCCAGTTGGTGCGACACACCTTGAAGATCCGCGAAGCGCTTTTTTGGTGTGCACGTGTTTGCCGAACATCGATGGGAGACCAAAAAATGGATCAATTTGGTGGAGTGCCTTGCCTGGAGATCCAACGTGGCACTTTTTTCTATCACAGTGTCGGGTGGCGTATTTTCCGAAAAAGTGTCACAGTGGTTACTCTTTGCTCACGGTTGGTGTTTGGCACTTGTTCTCTTAGGGCGTGTTGATGCTTTGCAGTGGCGCGAAGAAAAACATCCAGTGCCTGAGCCAAGTTTTCTCACACGCACTTGTGCTAGGACTTTTCTGATGTTTTCGCGCCTGTTTTTGTCAATGCTGGACGCGGCTTAAAACATGCAGCTTTCGCAAAAGTTGCGAAAATTTCCGAAATTTTCTGAAAATTTGTACGGTTCTTTTTTCACAACGGTTTCGTCACATTTTGGCACTGTGGGAGCACGTCTTCAACCAAAATCACGACGATTTCGTTCCTCTCTCCCCGTGACTCCGCGGTTCACGCAGAGTTCCGATGTGGTGGCTGACTTGCGCTTTCGATTGAAAATTCACTTTTTGCTAGTGGCGTGTGTTGACTTAAAATGTGTCACAGTGGCAAGTTTCACTTTTTTTTGGCCACTTTGGATCTCCAGGTGGTTCTTAAGGAGGAATTGGGTTCGTATTTTTGTTGATAAAGGATGCAAGTACATTCTTGGTCTTGTTGATAACGTCCATGTCCAGAGTCCAACATTGTTGCAATGTTGGACTCTAGAGTCGCTTGGTCATATCTGCTTCATGATGTCAGTTGAGCCTGCCCTAAGTCAAGCCTTTTTAGCAAGCCTCGATTCAAACCCTTTCACACAGTAGAGAGAGAGAGAGAGATGTCCAGAAACTACCCACAGAGCACCTGTTTTCTCCTTTTCGGGTTGTACAGGTTCACCCCGGAACTCAACGCGGTGTCCACCGCCCCGCCTCTGGGGCATATCCAGCCGCCTAGTCTGCACACAGTTCCAGCGTTTCCAAATCAACGGCGTGTGGATCGTATCACGCGACTGCCATCGTGAGACTTGTCCCAAGTGGCCTTTGGAGGATGGTTTCGGCCACCGTAAACATCCTCGGCTGTAGCCCACGCCCTTCGCACCTGAGCTCAAGCGAAGACTCAACGGCAGAGATGTGGGGTTTACTGATACGCGCTTCATTGCGCACGTCGTGCACGCGTCTCATGTGTTGGTGGAAATTGCCCCAGCTCGATGGAGGTTCCAGAGTGCACAATGCTCTGCAAGCCATCTGCAGGTTTTCTTTCGGGTCAATGTAGCTCGCAGCTAAGCACAGAACCTTTCCGCATCCGTCCGGTGTGGAGGTGTTGTGTGCTCTCATGGCGGCCACCGCCGCTTCAAAATGGTCTTCCGCGCATGAGGCTATGATTGCCTGCTTGCTTCGTCGTGTGCTCACTTCGAGCTCCTCACCTCAAAGCTTGTCGAAACAATAGAACATTGCGACATGTTGTTTGTAATACTTATCTACATAGTGTATTCTTCTTGATGGGGCCTTATTGTGATCAAAATCACAACGGGTGGGAGTTCATTCTGGTCCAAGCTGCCCAGGTCTTGAATCGAAATTCGCTTGAAGTTGATCTTGGTAAAGTCCAGCTTTCGTTGGCCCTTCTGGTAGAAGGGTGCCTTTTTCTCCTCGAATGCTGCCTGCCTCAGTTCAAGCGGTTGCCACCTCTGCGTCATTCAAGTGACCTGAGCTTCTGGCAAATCTTGCATAATGCATGGCCATTCGGCACATGTCATAACATTCTCCAGGGTTGGTTGAATACCGATGAGGACAACGCCTGGCCGAGAAACGAATGCGAAACGAATGCGAAAACCCCCACGGGGCACAACTCCAAGGGTCCTGAGGCACCATCATCCTCGAAACAACTCTGCACCATGTTGAACACCGTGTGTCGATAGTGGCCGTACCAATGCATTTTCCTCACATCAACTGCCTGCGCACCATGAAACGACACGATAAGCTGACTGACACGATAAGCTACAACAGGCACAAAACGGCGCCTCTGACATGGCTCCACCTGATGTCACAATCACCCCAAAGGAGCACTCGCACGGCAAAGCTACATGCCAGCTAGGACTGTGCTGTAACACAGTATGTGCAAAACATGTGACAAGTGCATCATGTCATTTTTTGGGACAATTATACAGCTCAGATTGAACAGCAAGCAAAACTGCGTGGCTGTTCGTTGCAATTGCAATCTTCAAACGTCTCGAGCCGAGACTTGCAGAGAAGTAGACGTCAGACACGCTTCAACTTGCACACATAACTAGTAGAACTCGAAACTCAGCGCAGCACAGACTCGCGACATCTGTTTTCTGTACAGTTGTGAGGCAAAGAAGTCACGTTAGAACCCAGCAAGTCAGTTTTGGTCCAGAAATGTCCGAGCAGGATTCCAAAGCAGCCTGTTTTTGACACGTCTCGAAGCTGTTGAACTTGCGCACTTTCCACCGAGCAAACATGCTTTTTAGCCGGGAAAACAGTGGAACCAAACAAGGTCCTCTGCCAACTCTATGCACGCACCAGACTTAGAGGATTTACAGGAGCTGAGCCAACATTGCAGCAAGCATGATCCTGACTCGAGGAAGTGGGATCAAGGGTATGAATCGCCAAAGAGGGACATCTGAATCTTCTGCGTGTGATGATGATGTTTCACCTTCGTAGACTGCTCACCAAACAAGTCTTCTGGGCTATGTTAAGCCGCCATGCAAATGGCAAGGACCTTTCGGACTTTCGGTCGAGTGGTGGAGCCAAGGAGGCCGCAGCTGTGTCGCCTAACGGGAACGTTGCTTGGATCAACTCCCCACTACGAAACCTACGCTGGCAGCAGTCGAGTAGACTTAGACAGCTAGGCTCACCTTGGACCCTAGCCAGAGACCAACGGAAACCAACAAAGGAAAGTGGGTGGTGGGAACTGAATGAGGGGCAGAACAACCTCAATGAATGGGGAGAATCCTGCAAGCGAATGGTTTCATACCAATGCTTGATGAGATTAGAGGCCGCATTGAAGATCGCAGCGAGCCGTTTCATTGGATTGTGAGTTGATTCGACTGTTTGCAAGAGCTCTTTCTGTGCGACTAGCTCTTCATCTGCAGCATACTGTCATCAAAGGCATGGTTGGACATGCCGATGCAACCTTCAGATCAACTTCCGGCGAATTTGGGAACAGCGCACGGGAGGAGAAATCAACAAATACAAAGCAAGCAGAATATGTTTTAGAAGCTTCTTTGAACCACGTGTCCTGAAAATGATGGAGACACTCGGAGTTCGAAGTGCTGCTTCAGAAACCAAAACAACAATCAATGTAATAAACAGCACATTTGGTACTGTGATATGCTACTCACGTTGTCTAGGACCTGGGAGTACCTGAGCTGTTCTTGTTTAGAACCAGAAAACCGGTTGGCAAACTTTGATGTCACAAGAGCAGCGTCTGCAAGGATCCAGAAGCATTTGATGCAGATGACTTCAGCATACCTCGGGCTACAGTATCACTTCGACTCAATCTATGTTTCGACTTCGGCTGCAGGGTTGTGCTGCAAAAGTTAAGCCCTAATCCACAAATCCGAACCCCTAATCCACCAACCCTAAGCCCTCATACTAAAGCTTGCTCGAGGCAAGATCAGAAATAGGATGGGATTGTGGGGATGAGATGGTGCGACCACAGGCCTCAAGCTGTTTCAATCTGCTTGCTTGCAGATTTATGGGCAAAGGGGGTTGAACATTTTGCCAAAACCACACGGGGCTCGCGCCCTAACATATATGTTTCAAACCTGCTTGTGCAGAACATTGCACGTGAAGTCAAAGAGGAGTTTTCCAAACTGTGCAACGAGGATTTTCATTCATTCTGGGAGGCGCCAGTCGGACAGCCCGCAACTTCTGGAAGTGTCTTTCTTTGATGACGTGGCCAATATGTCTCACTCATGCTGATACTGAAGCCCTCATGCAGGCGGCACCAGGATTTCAGCCTTGTGGGAGTCTGCACGCAAAGGGGATTGCAAGTCAACTTTCGACAGGATAAGACTGAGGCTCCTTTCTGCTTCCGAGGAAAGAAGATCCGGCACAATCGTGCTAACTTGGTTGAGCGAGGAGCGCAAATTTCAGGCTGACGCCCATGTGCGAAAGGAACCTGTGGGGGTCCTTAAGGCGTCGGTCCTTGTGGGCCAGTTGAGAAGTTGGCAGTCAAGACGTCGCAAGCTCAAGTTGTTGCGCTTAACTCGGTCCTCTCTTGGCTTAGCTACCAACTGCATGTGCTTTGTGGCGCAGCAACAGTGAGCACGATTTTGCGGTTCTCCAGCACGCCTTCCTACAGATGGTCGCACCAAGAGTGCCTTCTCTACTTCTTGCATGAACAAATTAGAATGAAGAAATCTCACAAAATCATCCCGATCCATCCTAAGGTCCTATCAGCAAGTGTTCAGACCTGAAAGCGAAAAGGTCGATCCTTTTTCCTTTGCAATTCTGCAATTGTCTTCAGTGTGAGACACCTCAGGGTCAACACAAATCTAAAAAAAGGCTTGCAGATTTGGGAAGAATGCAACAGCTCAAGTTCTTAGACACTGCCAAAACAAAAGGTGTTCAGCAATGGAACCCATCCGACCAATACCAACTCTGGGCCTTGGGGAGTCGGTCCTAACGTCCGACTTGTCGGCCTCAGGGAGTCGGTCCCCATGGATCAACGGTGGACTTGGGATGGTGGGCAGACTTGGGATGAGCTGTTGCCACAGCTTTTGTGGATGTGAAAGAATGATGTTGGCA